GCAGGTGAGGAACCCGGCCCGCCCCTCGCGGTCCCGCCCTCCCCACGTCACCCCGCGCGACCACCCCGCCGGTCCCCAGTTTCACCACGCTGCGCTGAGTCGGTGGCCCCTGGGGGCGGGAAGTCGACATCTGTACATGCGGCCCGGAATCTCGAAGCCACCGGTGCCCACCTGGCATCCCGGCTTCACGCCCCAACACCTGTGAGCCCACCACAGCTCTACACAGATCGACGGTAGCTCTCGTGAGAGCCCGGGCTCTGCAGTCCCCGCCTCGGTCCCGATGCCGCCGGACCCCTTGCCGTGAGCTCCCTTGGAAAAGTGGCTTTTCCTCCCTGAATCTCAGTGTGTGCCTCTGTGAAACGGCCCCGCCTCCAAGGGCTTCAGTTGGAAGGGGTTAGGCGGGTGGCATGCCTGACCCTCACCCCCACCATTCCCACTGCACTTTGCCTATGTGACTCGATGGGCCCCATCCCCGGATTTTCCCAGGAGTCAGAGGCCTTGTCCTTGCCCAAAGCGGGCACTTCTCCCGGAAGAGCCCCCCAAGCTGGCCAAAGGCTGGTGAAGGCCCTTGCTGGTCTCCCAGGCCTCCTGCCTCCTCCATTTCCACCTGCACACAGGCTGCCACCATGGTGGACCACGTGCAGCCGCGGTGTGGGTGGAGTTCCAACCACTTGGGCCCCAGCCCCACCCAGCTGTCCATATTGGGCATCCATCCCTGGTTTCTAGGCTTGCACTTCAGGCCAGCTCTCTGGGCCTCTTCCCACTGCATCCAGCCTTTGAGGATCACTGCAGCCTCCCCACAACCAGGCACTGTCCCCTCTCGGCTTCTGTTCCCAGTGCACTTGCCATTCCCTACCCTGGCATCCAACCAGGCTCAAGATTGCCTCCTCTATCCAGCCACCCTGTCTGTCCTCCCTCCACTGCCTCTCTCTTCTCAGCCTCCTGGCCTCCAGTGCCTCCTTCAGCACCCTCTACCCAGCACATCCCCAACATACACACCGTTCCCATTACTGCTCTTTGGGGCTACCTGGACCTTCCTGATTCAGCCACTGTGGACCTTTCTCTTTTTTTTTTTTTTTTTTTTTTTTTTTGAATTGGAATCTCACTCTGTCTCACCCAAACTGGAGTGCAGTGGCCGCTCCCGGCCACCGCAGCCTCCACCTGCTGGGCTCCGGCGATCCTTCCACCTCAGCCTTCCAAGCAGCCGGAATTACAGGCATGCGCTACCACGCCCGGCTGATTTTTTGATTTATTGTAGAGATGAGGTCTCGCTGCCCAGGCGGGTCTCGAACCCGCGGGCTCAGGCAATCCACTCACCTCAGCCTCCCAAAGGCGTGGGATTACAGGCTGAGCCACTGAGCCCGGCTGACCTTTCTCATGGACTCTCCTTCTGCCCGCCACCTTCTATGTGCCTGTGCCAGTCAGACCCCATGGCTTCAGTCACCTGAATCCACCAAACACCCACCTCCAGGCCTCAATCCATACTGTTTCCACCACCTACAGTTGCAACTGAATTAACTCAGTTCTCAAAAGTTGGCTCAAAAGAACACCAACCCTTCACAAACTCTTCCAGAAAATAGAAGAGGAGAGAATTCATTCTATGAGTTATCCTGATACCAAAACCAGACAAAGACATCACAAGAAAACTACAGACCAATATCCCTTATATATATGCTTTTTTTTTTTTTTTTG